AGAGGAAGGCACACCTGTACAGAGTTGAGGGTCTACGGAGCACTGTGCTGTTGAAGAGCAGCATTGTGAGGGGGTTGGTGTCTCCCTTCCCCATTCTTCCTCCTCTGTGGGCCTGGAAATGCCTTTCCAGTGACGGGGGGCATTTGTTGATGAATATTTAAGGTGAGCTTTGTGGGGCTTGCTTATATTGTAATTGCAAGCAGGGTGTCCTTGCCAGGATGGCCAGGGCATGCTCCAAACTGAGTGGGACGGTGCTGTACAGGCCCCTGGCTCTGCAGCTAATTCATTGCCTTCTCTATCCTTCCTCTGTCCTCCCATCTTTGCTCAAAGGCTTGAAGAAGACAAGGCAAGTGTGGGGCTGGAAAGGAAATACAACCGTCAGTCTCCCACATCCTGTCTAATAGCAGCAGCAGCAGCTTCTTCCTTTCTAAGCAGACAGGCATTGAAGGGCAGTGGGGACATGGGCCTTGGGGGGTCAGGGGAAATGGAAGCTTGTGAGAGATGAAGAAGTTCCTTGGTGGGGAGGTTATAAGAGGGTACCTAGAGGAGAGCATGGTGCAACCTGAGGTGTGTGGGGAATACCTGAGCCACTAGGGGATAGGAAAATCTAGTGGGTCCAGAAGAGACCTGGGGACACCCTAAGGACAGGCCAGGGGGAAATTACTATGAAGGAGCCTTATATGAGTGGCAGACAGAGATAGGCAGCACATTGACATGAGGGCAGGTCTAGGGGTAACCTGGGCAAGGACAAGCAGGATATTGTTTGCAAAATACAGGGGAATACTAGAATGGCATGGTATCTTGGGGAGGAGGAAAAGGTCTGCGGTTCACTTTGGGGTGTGTGGCTCCCTGCCCTGAAACAAGGGGGACTGGGAACCTGAAGCCCTACAACAAGAGGTGAATTGGAAGGGTTGGGCCTGGCAGGCTAAGAGAAACTGTACTGGTTAAAGATGCTAGACTCAAAAAAATGGGAATGTAACTTTAAGTACTTAAGCATGTGAATAAGTTACTGGGAGAATTATGGGTACATGCCATGGGGGTTTACTTCGGTTTAATTGCCCTAAATTGAAGCAGTAGGTTTTTAAAAATACCACTCCAATTTTGGGCGATGTGTACATGCCACGGGGGTTTACAAGGTTTGGGCCTGATCCTTACCTGCCTTTCTGATGGTGGGAAGGGGAGGGCAAGCTGCTGGTGGGCTGAGCAGCCCCTGAGCTGTGGCGGGTGCTGCTGCTTCCCTTCACGGCAGGCAGCACCCACCTGCAGGCATCTGGCCCAGATGATCCTGGGGGGCACTGCAGCTGCAGAGGGAAGCAACGGGGCCCCTGCACAGCTCAGGCAGGCAGGCAGGCTCCAGGAAGAAAAAAAAAAAATCAGGTTTGACACTTCTTTTTTTCTTCAGTGGAGCCTGCCTGCATGGGCTGCCGTCAGGCTGCCTGCATGGGCTGCCTGCACAGCCCCTGAGTTGCAGGGGACCCAGTGCTTTCTTCCATGGCTGTAAGGTAGAAAACTAAAACACCTCGGACATGTTTTATTTTGCTGCATCTCAAAGTCATTTAATGTGCAATATACCGCTGACATGTCTAAACAGCCATGCCATTAAAGCTCATTACGCTGCTGACGTGTGTAAACAGCTGTACCATTAAAGCAGTGCAAAAGGGCATTAAACCACTTTAAAGGCCAATTTTGTGGTATGTACAAATGGCCATAGAGGGAAACTGAGGCACTGTGAGTAGTGCTGAACCTGCCACATGCAACCAAAAAATAGTAATAGTAATTGAGCAAAAGTTCAAACAACAGGGCTTTGACTCTGAGTATGAAGAGTAAGTCAAGCTGCTGAATAAGAAAGGGTCATTTTTTGAGAGTAGTCTTGCCTTTCAAATTGCAGTCTGCATCAAGAGTGGCAAGGAGGAATGCTCTCCCAATGGAAACTGTGAGCGACCTGTTTATTTTAGGCAGACACAATGCTTCGTGGAAGGCCAGTGAGCTTGTTCCCTGTGCCAGTGCTTGAGAGTGTGTAGTGCACACTTTCTCTTGCTTAGGGTTTCTGACCTTTGAGGATGGATGGTGTCACAGTGCCCTCTCTTTTCTGTTCCATCACTTTGAGTGTTGGCAACAAAACTAGCTTAGTGAGAGCACAAAGAGAGAGGTTTCTTGTAGCTTTTCCATCTATTCCCTGACTATATACAGTTCAGCATAGTTGAGCTGTCAACTATATAGGCATGGGGTCTAATGGCAATTAGTCAGTTTGGCTATAGGTTTGCTCAGGCATACTGACTCCTTTCAAATATATTAATTTCCTTTCCAACGTATTATCTCCTATTACAAAATAGGATGCAACATCATTCAACCACATAATAAACTATTGATATTTATAACAATTTAGACCCGCTAGTAGGCCTGCAAAATAGGATTTGCCTTAAAATAATACATTTATTTGGCTCTTGATATTTTGATTAAGTAACATCTGCTGAAATAAGATGTAGCCTATGAAAGTTCATGCCTCTCTGAGCAAGTTAGTCTATAAGTACCACCCTCCCCCCGCCTTTTGATTAATTAAGTTCATACTTAAAAACTCACATCTATAAACACAGGGTCTAAATATTTACTCTTTAATGAAAGTGAAGTTCCTCATATATTCACATGATTCTAGAAAGTGAGACTTTAAGAAAAATACTAAATATAATGAGATTTAGGAGAAAATTGAAGGAATGGGCAACACAGATTTTTTTAGATGTTTCTCCTTGTTTGAGCCACGTAAACTTTAGTCTCAGCAGATGTTACTTCAGGTGTAAACTACAGCTTACCCAGGTGAGCAGTATCATAAACACTGGGCTTTGTGATCAAAATTACAAATGATGGAAAAACTTGTGTGTCAGTTGCCAATCCCACAGATGCTTAAGAAATATTATATTTATTTGATGGAGTTTTGTTCCATGCTGTGGCTGAAAGCAGAAATTACAAGAAAAAACATTACTGTGACTGGAGTGGGCAATGCAATTTAAAAATAACTGTAAAATATAAGTTTACATAAAAAGCGGCACCCTGTGTAACTCTTAATAATGTCTTACCAATATAATCCATTTGGGAGTACTAATTAGACAATATTGTGGGCTAAAATACTAAAATAGGTTCACAAAACTCGCTTCCGATATTCTTTATCTTGACGTAATGGGTCTGATTTTACAATAGAGTTTCTGATGCAGGCTGTAGGGGAAGGCTTCTGTAAGGTAAATTCTGATACTACCAAGTCATAACTGAACCTAATTTGTAAGCATCTTACTGTGTAGTTGAATCCACAGCCCTGAGTTAAATAGTCTTCCTATATGGTACATGGGGAGAACTGGATGACTGAGAATAGTCATCTAGACAGGAATCAGCTAAAAAAAATGCAAAACTGTACAGTGAACAGGAAAGCTGTGTCTTTAATGAGAACAGAATAGGACTTTTTAAGATTATTAGCTTTACCACAATGGAATACATCTGTTTTAACCTTTGCAAATGTAACTCCAGAAATCATGTGCATGTTGGTAATTCTATGGGAATAAGTACTGGAACATAGAACCATTCCTGGCTCTAGTAGGGAAGGCATAAGAACTGTGAAAGAGCCTGAATTCTATGGAGCTTTTAACATCAGGGAAGTAACCATAGAAAGTGCTAAATAATTAAGCATTAGTGAGTGTTACCCAGTAACCGAGAGTACAGCAGTGTAGTGGTTTCTCTATGTACTTGTCCTTGGGTAAATATTTGGGCTTTGAAGCTTGAAGTGACAGGAGACATTGCAGCAGCTTGCTCTGTGCAAGGTATTTCACTCTTTCTTTATTCATAGACCATGTATTATACACAGGTTCCCTATGCAGGCCTCTTTAGTGGATGTAGTCCTCATATAGACTGAAGACAACAGCTTCCCACAGGTTTCAGTGGTGAGTGGCTCTCCTGAGATTCTGTTAATAACTACTAATAGACATATAGCCTGTATGACAGACTCATTTAATCATGCATCCTAATCAATATGTGTTCCTGGGGGAGACTGCAAAGCATCTGGTTTGACAAGCCAACAGCTATATGTTGTTTCATCACACCCAACTGCTTTGGTCACTCAGGCTGCTTGTATATGCCATGGGAATTTACTTTGGTTTAATTCTTCCTAAATTGAAGCGGTGGGTTTTTAGATGTAGTTTAAAGCACAATACGCTGCCGACAGTGTAAACAGCAGTGCCATTAAAGTGCAATATGCCGCTGACAATCTAAACAGCAACACCATTAAAGCAGTGCAAAAGGGCATTTAAGCTGCTTTAAAGGCCAATTTTGTGGTGTGTACAAAGGTCCTCAGCTTTTCCTGTAGTCACAGCTAGAGTTTGATTGAGAGCTGCCTAATTGAATCTGGATAGTGTGTTGAAAGAAACACGCCACAGAAAGGTAAGAGTGCTTGTGTAGTCCCTCTGATTAGGAGTGTCATTACCTTTTTATTTTAAAGGATACTAGTTAGGGATCCTGTTTGATTCCAGACCATATCTATTTGTCCAGCAACCAGCACTGTGTATCAAATAAGATAATTCTTTTTTTTCTCTTGGCAATCAACACTGTCCCAGACAACAGTACCTATGTAACTTCCACATGGGATTACTGCCAAGGACTGTACTCAGGGTTGCCCTTGAACACTACTCAAAAACTTCAGTTCATGCATAATGCAGATGTCCACAAAATTTCATGCTGACAGCATATTACTCTTGTGCTCCACAGACTCTACTAGTTTTCATTATTTTTCTAAGTTCAGTTCAGGGTAATAGTTTTGGTTTGTAAGGTTCTTTAAGCTTTTGATTTGTGCAGCTGGGAATGCTGCTTTCTTCTGCACCGTCCTGATCAATTTTTGAGAATGAATGAGATTCTGAAGCTGACAGTTCCTAGCTGTCAGGAACTTAGCTGCAGTCAAGACCATTTGTACCTTGGGTACAAATGGTCTTGACTGTTAGCTTGACAAGGTTAGCTTGGAGGGGAGCCCAAGGCTCTCAAATTCACTTCCATCATGGTCTGAAAAAGCAAGCATAGTTAACTTTAAGCATGTTTAGTCAGGCTTTTCTGGAGGAAGTTCCTTAGAAATTAGAAGAGGGTGAAGGCAGGAGGGTTTTAAGTCTTTCTGACATTGTGTCACTGGAACTGATTGTTCATACATATTTTCAAAGTTGTTATTGTACATTCATCTCAAGATAAGGAGTCTAACTCTGCTTTCATTGGGCAAATCTACATGCGTAATTAATGCACCCGAATAAACTCCAGCACTGTTCATGCCAGGGTTTATTGCTCCTGGGCACAGCATGTTTAGCTGGGGAGGCGTAGCCCTGGCTGATAGGTGGCCCCAGAGGTCAATCTGCCAACCTGAAGCTGCTTTGACCTGGTTCAACATGCTATGGAGGGACTGGCTGGGACATGAGGTTGCTATAGTGTGAGGCTAGCCAACAGGCAGCCCCTGCACTGTAGCATCCTCAGGCCCCAACCAGCCCCAGTCACTGTCCACACATGCGTTGCCGTGGGGTAAATAAGTGTGCCATAGGATAGTACTTGTGTCAGACAGTACTCTCCTACGGCAGAGTGAATTACTGTATTTCATGATGTATAGGTTGACACAGTGTATAAGTCGACCCCATTTTTCTGATCCAAAAAGTTAGAAATTTCATAGATCTGGTGTGTAAGTTGACCTAATTTTTTGGATCAGAAATATGGGGTTGACTTATACCAGCCCCTGCATGCCCTCACTGTGGGTCAGGCACCTGGGAGGGGGGACACGTTCTACAGTACCGCTCGCAGGGGACAGGGACGGGCTTGGCTGGCACTAACACATCCCCTGCGGGCAGCACTGCTGAGTGCTGAGCCCAGCCCCATAGCCTGTGAGCAGCACTGAGCTCAGGTGCTCAGCTGGAGCAGCCCAGTAAGCACCGCTCGCAGGGGATGAGGGCATGTCAGCTCAGCGCCAAGCCCATCACCACTCACAGGGGACAGGGACGGGGACAGGGATGGGTTTGGTGCTCGGCTGGCATGCCCCCATCCCCTGCTAGCAGTGCTGCCTGGGCCATGCCAGCCAAGCACCAAGTCCAACCCCATCCTCAGTGAGTGGTGCTACCATGTCCCATCTCCTGCGAGTGGCACCAGGATCAGCTGGCATGGTTGGGCTCAGTGCACAGAAGCACCACTTGCAGCAGACAGGGCCCCATCCCCTGCGGGTGGTGCCAGGCTCAGTGATTGGCTGGCGCAACCCAGGCAGCACCACTCACTCCCTTGGGGGCAGGTCCCTTGTGTCTTAATTTATCTAACAGTAGAATGGACTCAGTAGTTGGCTATTTCACACAGGGGTTATTGGCCTCAGTGGACTTTGGGCTATGGTCAGAGATATTTGTGAAATACCTGGAGATCGTTTGGTGTGTAAAGCATTGGGGGCTAACCTTTTTGGCAGGTGTACCACTCCAATCCCCTTCCCCAGCCTGATTGGCTGCTCTGTTTTCTGCCTCCTGTCCGCTCCCCAGTCTACCAAGAGCCAAACACAGAGGCTGCCCATGCCATTTGTGGCTTGCATGCTACAAGTTGGTCATGCTTGGTGCTTTGCATAATTAATTTCTGTGCATACAGAAAATGTTGGAAAAGAAATCATGTATTTTTTCCTTGCTTTATTCCATTATATGAAAAATATTAGAATAAATGAACAGTTGACTTTAAATGTAACAAAAGTTTATTTTTGGCTGGGGAATGAAGATGAATTTCATAGTGGGGCTGTTTTGCTGTCCTATGTATTGACACAAATATTAGTAGTTTCATCAGTTATATAAGTATTACTATTTTTATTCAATTTACAAAGTAACAAGTTTTACACTGCCATAAGAAGGAGACAAATCCTTAAGTCATATTAGAACTTTAATGATCCCTATTGAATAAGAGATTATGAATATAATACACAGGATTATTTTTAAATGTTAGAGTGGGGCATTCTGCATGATGCTTTTTAATTAAGTTTAAACAGTCTAAATTATCCATAATCTCAAATAATTTTCATTTTTCAACACAAACTTTGAACAGTAGAGCAAACATAGGTTTTACAATAGCTGATATCTTTTGCTTATATTACATCATTTCTTAAATGAACATTTTTTTCCAAAGGCAGACATTGCTTCAGTTGCTTGAGCAGTTGCTTTCTCAGCACCATCTTGAGCTGTCTTGCAAACGTGATCCATTGCTGAAAAAGGAAAGAAGCTCACATAAATGCTCACATTAATGCTGCGTCTATACATCCAAGTACACACAAATAGTTACTATGGAAAGGGAAGGTGAAAGACTGTATCCCCATGTTTGTTATGCCTAACTATATATTATTCAGTATATCCTTGTGCTCATGTTTACTACTTCACACCATGCACCAGCAGCTTATATTAATGAAAAAAGGCTTCTCTCTGGTACTTGTTCGTGTTTAGAAGTGATGCTGGTGAGTGATGAGTAGAGCTTGGTTCAAATTGCAGGCCCAGCTCATGGCGTGGCATCTCCTTTAATCCTGTAGTTCCACATGTGCCCCCCTATCACTTATTGACAGAGGGGCCCAGTCAGCCACACCACTTGCTGCTCGCTCCTGATGGCCGGAAGGTGAAGACTGTGGTTTTAAACATGCTACAGTTTTTGCCTCTGCTTGCTGCTGACCGAATGGGAGGCAAAAACCGTGGCATATTTTAAAGCATGGTTTTTGCCTCGCAGCCCTCAGGAACAAATGGCGAGCAGCAGGGTGAATGGGGCCCCTCTGCCAAGCAGCGGTGGTGGGGGAGGGGGATGCATGGAGGGAACTCCAAAATTAAAGGAGCTGCTGCAAGGAACTGTGAGCTGGGCCTGCAGTTTAAACTGGGCCCTGGTGATGAGAGAGAGAGAGAGAGGCTAGGAACTGTTGGGTGGAGGTGCCTTCAGGGTGCTTATGGGTTCTAGGATTGGATGTTAGCTATGGTGTAGGTTGGTGGGATGAATAGTGTGGCAGTGTCTGGTAGCTGATTGTGATGGCTGATGGGTGTATGTTAGGTGCTGATGGAGAGGGTAATGGCGCTGATAAGTACAGTAAGCTTCTTCCTCTTACCCAGCAAGTGTATGTGTAGTGAATTACCACCTACAGCATGCAATGAGCTTATGCTGTGAGAAGTTGCAGGAACAAAACAGCTGGCTTCCTGCCATTAAGTGAAGTACAGTGTAAGCAGTGAGTGGCGGGGGGGAGGTGTTTTGGCAAGCAGAGATTTAACAGCAGCAGTAAGAGGGGTGTCTTTTTCTTTCCTCCTTTTACTAACATTGCTGCTGTCCCACTGGTGGTCATATTTTGATAGTTTTGCCACATTCTCTCTATGTTGTCCCAACCCCCAGTGGGAATTTGCCTGCTCAAGAGACCTATTAGCTTGAGATTTTCAGTTGACCTTTTATACCCTGACAATTCTAATTCTTCCTTTATTCATACAATCTATTTAACATTCAGTGAGGTTTTTACTTCTTTCTTTGTCAAGGTTGACAGTTCTTGTCACCAGAAAGAAATTACTTCTACTCTTCACAATAGTTCTACTGCCATTTAATAATTAACAACATTAGCAGACACCTTGAGCTCCGTGTGATGAAGCCAGGGTTAGCATTATTATGGACTCCTGCCCTCAGAGCTGGAGAAATCAAGATGCTTTACCTGCTTGCTTACTCTCTAAGAAAGAAGGGGCAACATTTGGATTGTATCACTGTGATCGGTGATGAAACCTGGGCACAATATGAAATGTGTAAGCCATGAAAAAAGGGTCACTTGATCTGACTTGTTCTACTAGCAAACATATATACAGTAAAAGATGTGTTATCTGGCACCTTACAAGCTGGCATGCTCTATTAACTGGCATGCCGGCTTGTAAGGTAAAACTGAAATTGGAAGTACCCACCATGGCATTTCCGGTTTCGCCAAGCCCCCATGGTCTGGGGCAAAGCAGCATGTGTGGGGCCTGCCTCCCTGTCCCTTGGGGCCCGCAGGAGGGGTGGTGATGTGGAGGGAGGGGCGGCAATGCCCTGGATGCAGTGGGAGAGGCAGCAGCCCGAACAGGCAAAGACGCCTGTTCGGGCCTCTCAGTTAACCGGCATATTTTGTTATCCGGCACCCCCCATCCCCCATGAATGCTGGATAACAAAGCTTTTACTGTATACAGTCACTAAGGAGCGAATACTGAAATTCTTGCCTCTCACTAAATTAGTGGGAGCCTTGCCTAAGAAAGTACCAAATAGAAATGAAGGAAGAACATTAGAACCTGACCTTAAGTTCATTGTACTAGTTTTCATTAAATGCTTATGTCCTTTCCTTGTTTTCCTTTTATTCTCAGTATTGCTCATATTGAAAAGACATTCTCATACCTTTTTGACTTGCGTTGGTAGCTTGATTCACTGCATCCTGTGCAGCTTGGCCCAGTGTATTTGCTGTGGTTAGAAAAGACATTGTATTTTACTTTGTTGCTCAAGCTTTATGCTTTCCTACATTCCTTTCCCTTCATCTCCATTAACTGCTATGCATAGACAAAGCATAGGGTGGGTATAGGGGGGCACGTGCCCCCCCCGAGATTGGCCCTCACCAGCCGGAGAGTGGGGGGCAATGGCCAGTGCCCCCCCTGAGATTGTGGGGGCGCCGAGAGAACTGCTGGCGACACTTCCAGATTTTGCTGCTGGCACTTATGCCGGCGGTGGTGATTGGTCACTGGGGGATTCCCCGCTCCCTCCGGTCAGCAATCGGCCACTGGTGCCCCCCCAGTATCAAGAGACACCACTGTATACTGTATACACCACAAAGTATACTGACCCACTGTCAGTATACTTTGCTATGAAATTAATTTTATAAAACACAGAGCATGTTACTAATAAGAAGGTAAAATGATATGATTAGCAGCATGTTGGAATTTTGAAGTGCAGCTGCACATTGCTAATTTCAGTATGATTTTTATTTATGTGTTTTAATTTATTCTTTTGAAGGTGTTTTATTATCTGACTTGTTACCATCTGGGGCAAAATGGCTTTGAAAGGCTTCTGGGCCTCCTTTCAGGATGGAAGGAAAGCTAAACTAGGAGATGAAAAGGAGCATTTTCCCCAAAGATTCTAGAGGAAAAGGAGTTAAAATACAATTCAACAAAAATATATGGGAAAGTTGTATAGGAATGTCCCTGTAACTAGTAGTTTAAAATAAAAGTTATAAGCAGTTTACAAAACACAGTTTTCTTTCAGCGCTCTTGGCTAAATAACTTGCCATATTAGTGACAAGAATTCTGTGAAAATACATAATGTTTGTGGAGGTACCTTTTTAAAAAAGTGGTAAATACTTTTGGCAATAGGAATCGTTGTAGTACAGTGGAAAGAGCCTTTAAGGGGAAAATCTAAAGCTGTGATTAAATTATATTTACTTCCTAATCTCTTCTGAATCGAATGTCTGTATATACAGCAATAGAAATTTCTATCTCTTGAGTGAAATGCCTTGTATCAGTATATGACCCACACTGATTTCAAGTTAATTTCATTGGAAAACTCTGATTAATGTATCATGAAACACAGATTTATTCACATGGAAGAATCTTGCAGGAAGAACATTTTACTGACTGGAATTTTCAAGACTATCAAAACAGCACAAAGACACCATAACTTAACTGGGCACCTAAATAAAGCCTCCAATAAGTAGGAGGAGCCTAAAAGAAAGACTGTGTTAGAATATCCATATATAAAAGTCAAAGTCGGGGTAGATTTGCCTGAGATTTAAGATTAGCACTGACGCATCTAAATCTAATTTTAAGTCATCAGCAAATTAGATTTAACCCATACAGAGCTGTGTATACATGTGCTATTATTGCGCATGAATAAGCTTTGGAGCTCATTGCTGTGGTGTTAATTGCTCCTGGGCATGCTGTTTGAACTTGCAGCTGGGAGCAATTAACTCTGGAGCAGTGAGTTCCAGAGTTTATTCATGCACAGCATGTGGAGCTGGGTTGGAGCAGCCCTGGCTGGCAGGGGACCCTGGGGATCAGCCTGCCAGTCTGGGACTGCTGCCTCTGGCTCAGCCTACTTTGGAGGGATGGCTGGGGCACAAAGGAGCTTCAGGGCAGGCCTAGCCAGCAGTCAGCCCCTTCATTGAAGCACCCTTATGCCCCAGCCAGCCCCTCCAGTGTCTACACGTGCACTGTTTCAGAGTTTTTTACTCTACAACAGGATAGTACTTGTAAGTACAAGTACTATTCTGCTTCAGAGTAAATTGGTTTACTGCAGCCTAATAGGGGTGCACGTGTAGATGCTGAGATGTTTACTGTGCAGTTAATTAGTCAACTATGCAGTAAATGTCTCCAGGGCTCACATAGACATGCCTTAGGAGGAGCAAGGAAGAAAAAATGAAAGCAATAGTACTAAAGGAGGACATACTTTAAAGAACAATGTCAGATTATATAACCGGTTTTCAGATTAAAACCACTTCTCTTATTATTACTTAGAAGTAATATTAAGAGCAATGGTTTTAATATAATGTTAATGAATTGTGTTAACAAACTCAGTTGTTAAATTACTTGGGGAAATGTTAATTTGTACACATCTTTGAATGCATTTGGAACAATATCCAAGGAGAGATATTCCAAATTAGTATCTCTGGAAACTAGGCTCCTAAAATATGTAAACGTAAAATATGGAGACATCAAACTGATCTGGCTTGCATATATTTTACAAATTTGGTCCCAATGCAGAAGAGATTTAAATATGCTTAATTTTAGGCACAAGACTAATTCCACTGAAGTCAGTGGGATTACTCACATATTTAAATTACATGTACAAATGCGTATAGGATTGGAGCCCTGGATTATATCCAAGATATTTTTCCTACCAGCAGAAGATCTTCTACTGGCTGAAAAGTCCATCTAGCCTCACGATAAACTACAGAAACTTCTGCAGAGGATAAATACATTTTTAAAAATCTATATTTTAAGGAGGTATAAAATCATACAAAGATTGTTCAAAAAAATGTTAATCTCAGATTGAAAAAATAAACCTCTCATACACAATAGCAATATAGCCACCACTGCAATTAGGCATTGCAATATGGGAAATACACTTTATAATAAAAACATGTACATGCTTTCTATTTAAATTCAGAAAAATCTGGCATTCCTAGTAGAGAAAAATACACATAGTATTTTATTGATTATAAATAGTCCATTTTAACCAAGAAACACTAACATTCAGGAAAGCATTGCTGTTTTCCAGGTTTCAAATACACTTATCACAGGTAAATTATAGTTTCTTAAAGAGTAGAAATAGATGTCATCTTTCATGGCTACTGTGCTGCTATAAAAAGAATTATGGCACCACAAAGGCCAAGCAAACAGACATTCATGACTCCTGTTGCACCACAAATGCTCAAAATTTGTGGCTGTGACAAAGTTGGTACAGGAAACTGTCGCTATTCACGGTTTCAAATATTCGTGAATGCTGAACCTACATCTTAAATACACTTGAAGAGCTTCTTAGGAGCTTTGCACTTGCCGCCGCCAGGCTCCCGCCATCGCCAGCACAGCCATGCCTCCCCCCACCAGCCACTGGGGGCACTGTGTTCATGAACGCAGATGCCATTCATGAATGCAGTGCCTTATTCACGGATTTTGCCTCCCAAGATTCCCTGGGGTGCCTCTTTGTAAGCAGGGAAAGCCAGTCAAGCATTTTGGGGGCTTATGGAACCCAGTCCTGCATAGGAAGTCCTGGGGTGTGCAGAATCTAGTCCTGCCCTTCAAGCCTTGGGAGAGAACATTGCCCATTGTCTTATAGCTTCAACAGGCAGGACAGTGGGCAGTGTGTTTGTCACCTAATGAAGGGATCAGTTTTCCTAGGACCCATCTGGACAGCACTGATCCACTTCATTTGGTGATGTCTATTTCTAGCCTAAGAGGATCCATTTAGAGATCATTACGGAGTGTGAAAAAGGTTATGTTGCACATATGTAAGCAAAGTTTTTAAAACAAACGCTCAAGTATTTGGAATTGGTAAATATGAAAGGTCATTCCTTGGATAAGGCCCCTAGTGCTTGAAAAATGCAGTTTTAGAATGAGATGATGTTAGTGTGCATGGAGCTTGGACTACCTCCCAATACTGCAATGAGAAGGTTAAGAAGGTCGTTCATGTTGAGCTCACTGCAGGAACAGAGTTTTAGTCCTAAAGATGATTCTCTCTGGATCATGATCTCCATAAATAGAGAATTATAGGCAAGTTCGTTTAAATAGGACCCATAGATTGGATCCTGTTCCCATTGAAGTCAAAGGCAAAACTCCCATTGACCTCAATGAGACAGGCTTAAATCTCATATGGTGAAAGCTCTAATCTGTGCACAGATGATATCAGTCTTCCATGCTGTCAATACAGCTTTTCTTATAAGCACTAAAATAAATTTTGTTCTATTTAAAAGAAATCAAATTTAGTCTCGAGTGATATCCACTAACGGTTGTCTAATACCATCTATAAAGTAATTGGATCCTTGTTGTTTTATAAAATAAAATCGATGAACCCAACCTAAAGATTAATAAAAAAAGATTTTAGGATCTTATTTGTTTCTGATTTACACCAGGGAATATCTGAAGTAACACTACTGACCTCAGTGGAGTAACATTTGGAACTATAGACTACAAGCAGAAATTAGCATTCTTTAAATCAATTCGTTAAATCAAATAAAAGCATATATTTAAAGTTTCTTACCAGCATCTTGTGCCGCTCCCTCTGCCTGTTGTTTGATTCCCTGAAAACTTTTACTTGACATGATTGCTTTAGCTACCTTCTGGCAATCCTCTTCAGTTTAAAAGTAAGCAAAGCAATTTGTTTTACACTTTGAGAGAACTAATCAAAGTCATGCTGTTTTTATTCATGTGCCAGACTCCTCCAAATGCCCACTGGGTAAATTGTTTCACTAGGTGGAGCTGCTGGAGGGCTTAGCATTTGAGCCTAATGAATGAATCAGTGCTGAAAGTGTGCAGGGAAAATGCATATTATTTACTTTTCCCAAGGAGAGGGTGTATCCACCTAGATATTTTTATATCAGCAGAATTTATTCATTTATAATCCCTTTTTATTTATAAATATTTGTAAATAAAACTAAGAACTGTCCTAGTGGAACAAAAAAATGTGATGTAAAGATGTGGAAAACCACTGAAGCAAGTGTTAGTTATTGGGAGGCTAGGTTCATTTCAGTGGTGCCATTTTCTTTTCTCTTCTTCATTTCTTTCTCTTCGTGCTGTACTGAACTTGCATCTTTGGAAGTCACCAAAAGATCTACTTCGCCTATGATACTTGAGTTTGTAGCACTCTATAACTCAGGGGTGGGCAAAATGCAGCCCACTGGCCGGATATGACCCACCAGACCATTCTATCCAGTCCACAGGGCCTCTAAAAAATTTAGAAAATTAATATTTATCTGCCCCTGTGTCACAGAGCACGGAGGTGCCCTGCTCCTAGAGAGGGGAAACTGCCAGGGGAAGAACCCTAGCAGGGAATAAGGAGCCCAGCTGTGGGTTGCCAGGGCAACCAGGAGGTCAGCTGACTGAAAGGGGCAGGGCCTGGCTCCTATATAAAGCACAGACAGGAGGCCAGAGGCAGTTCCCTGTCAGCAGCCAGAGAGGCAGGAGCTTCCCTAAGACAGGATGCAGGAAGAAGCCTGACCGCAGGTATAGCTTATGGCAGCTCTAAGCTGCTTGAGCAATGTTGTTATAGCCAGGCGGCTTATGTTTAGGTTATAGCCAAGAGGCTTGAGTTTCTGTTTTGTTTTGTTGTTACACCGGTGGTTTGGGTGAGGCTATTAGGGGTTGGAGGAGGCCTCATAGGGGACCCACAGTAGCGTGGGGACCCCAGCGCCAGTAGGGGCTCAGCGTATGGGGTACATAGACCCCAGCCCCAGAGAGGAGCATTTGAGAAGCCCTAGTGCGGGCATGGCGAGCCCCAGGGAGGGGTCACTGTTGAGAAGCCCCAGAGCGGGCGCGGCGAGCCCCAGAGGAGGGGGCAACACTTGAGAAGGCCCAAAGAGGGGCCTGATTGTGATAAGGCCAAGACATAACAGCTATTCCATCGGCAAGGTGTGGACTGCGGTGTAGGGGAGGAAATGGAGCCGCAGATAGCGCCCCCTGGCAGTGGGGCAGCACAAGGGCAGCCTCCTGCTAATTAACATCAATCAATTAATTAACAGCAAGGCATGGCAGGCGAGAAGGTGGGCAGTTGCCCCAGGAACAGGTGTGCGGGCCACATTTTAGCCTGGCCCAGAGCAGCCACCTGTTATACCCTGGCTGCCTGTCATGTGGCCCTTGTTGGCTTGCCAAAACTCAGTAAGCGGCCCTCCATCCAAAATAATTGCCCGTTCCTGCTGTAACTGGTATCTTGCCCATTTTCCCCCCCTTTTTAGCCAGTGTAAATGTCAGATGTTCCTTGGAGATGTGTGTTCCCATCAAGAGATTATCTAATTGAGAACCAACAAAAAATCTGCTTCTCTGTCAAAACTACTTTGAAACATACAGTGCTATATTTAATAGTTGAGTTTCTTTCATGGCAGGACATTTTCTATGCTACAAATGGTTTGCTAGCCTGGCCATTCCAACAAACTAACTTAATTCATACTGGCTAAGTTTTCTTGATGTTGCAGCTTCTGCCAGTTTCCTGAACAAAATAAATTTTATGATCAAAGCCACTTTTTGACCATGTAACTTTATCTAAGGAAGATTTTGCTTGTTAAGAAGCACAACACTATGTTCTTCATTGACATTATTATGCCAATGAGATCATAGTGCATATCTCCTGCTGGGCTCCAATTTTCTGTTAAAATTTAAAATTGATCTGTTTTCCACTAGCAATCTTTTGCATAGTGAACTCTTACTCAGATAGACTGCTGTCTTGGAAAGAAGAGAGAGTAGGTCTGTGGAAGGTCCCAGTTGTTTCCATTTATATTAATAAGATAAAGAAAGCAAACTGACATTTGCATTTTTTGGTAGGTTAAAAATTAACGGACTATTTAGAAAGTGGAATTAATCTGGGTTTGGATTTTGACTTGTTACAACATTTAGAGATATTTGTAGAAAGAGTTTAGGTAAACTTCCAGGAGATGTCTTTGAGTCAATAAATAAACTTCCAGGGGATAGCATTGAAAGTTTTCTGAATTAGACTCCCTAAAGGACAGAAAAAAATAAATATATTCTCTAATTCAACATTAGCAATGTTTATGCAAATTAGCCCCTCCAAGATATTGTTTTTAAATAAATAAATTTCTGCATCTAGACGAGATGCATTTCTGTCTAGTACACACAGTCTTTTAGCTGATATTATGATAATATCATCATCACGGTGGTCCTTTGAAGTTGAGGATGACATCCATTTAGCTCGATGGGTCCTGTTAAGGAATGCTGACTCCTGATCATTGCCACTGGAAGTCCCCCCTTGCCCCTGGAAGTACTCCTTTTGGAGAGGTGGCCTTGGAACTGGAAGTTACACCCTGTCATATGGTCTGTGTCATAAGACTCGCCCACCCAACACCAAACTGCCCTGCTTGCCATATATGTCCCAGAATCCCCTGCCCTCATCACATGATCCCTGACATTAGAAGGTGTACCCCTTGACTGGGAAACACTGCCCAACACCAGGGCCCATCCTCACAGTACATGGCCTGCTCCTGGGGCCCCAAGAGTTCTGCCCTATGGGCCAAGAGGGACAGGCACAACTTACCAGGTAGGAAGGGGTTGTGACTCTTCTAACCTCCTGCCCCAGCAGTGGGGTTTCAGGGGCATCAGACCTCCCCCAGAACAGAGCCAAACCAATTGAGTCAAGGGCTGCACACACACAATCTTTCAGAACAAGTCATTTTAAAAAGGTATAGATAAAATATTGTATACTAACAATCAAACATCTACTATAACAGATTTTAATTTTATTTAAAAAAATAATTTGAGTAGTGATTAACTTAACGCTCCTGAAAACAACATGACAAGCACGCAACCATAATATAAATAACTTAACTTAAATGATTAACTTAAAGACAAACACAGGAACTCAATGCGAAGAATGAAGCCTCTGATGTGTGTTAACCAGAAAATCAAAATCGGGCATCATCTATGTTGTTGCAATGTGGAGCACTGCTGCAAGGTGGCCATTGCTAATTGAAGATCTAAGGTTTGATTTGTTGATTTTCATTACAGAAAATGTCTGCTCACATACGTAGGTTGATCCAAACAGCATAAGTGTCTTTTGGGCATGAGCCTTGATCTTTGAAAACTTCTGTTCATTGAGAGAGGCATAAAAGCTAGGAAGTGGAACTGATTTGAATTGCTCTGCAAGCAGTGCATCACACTGCAGATCAATAAGCTCAAGTTGCAGGTCACATGGAGTGCTGTCAACAGTAAATGTGAAAGGTGAGGAGACCAAAGACCAGTCTTTTTCTATTATTCGAAAATCTTCAAATCGTTGAGAAAATTCAGCATGCAGCTGCACTAGTAGTGATGTATATTTTTTTTAGGTTTTGATCAGAAACAGTAATCTGCTGCAATACAGGAAAATGGCCAAAATCTTTGTTTTCTGTCTGACGGGAGAAAAGGAGTACTTTCATCATAAATGACTTGACACTGGAATGCAGTTCATGAGCAAAAAGCCCCTTCCCTTGCAGTCGTGAATTCAGATCATTCATGTAACCCATGACATCAACGGCAAATGCAAAATCAGAGAGCCAATTTGCATCATTCAGCTGTGGGAAATCCAAATCTTTTCCTTTCATGTTCATGTTTCCTTTCATGTTAACTTACCAAGGGGGACCAGCAGGGAATGAGAGAGACCCTTTTTCCCTGAGCAGTACCAGGAGTAACTAAGAACAACGGCCACAAGTTGACTGAGAGTAGGTTCAGGCTAGACATCAGGAGGCAGTACTTCACAGTCAGGGCGGCTAGGATCTGGAACCAACTTCCAAGGGAACTAGTGCTCGCTCCTACCCTGGGGTCTTCAAAAGGAGGCTAGATAATCACCTAGCCAGGGTTGTTTGACCCAGTATTCTTTTCTGCCCATGGCAGGGGGTCGAACTTGATAACTTGCTCAGGTCCCTTCCAACCCTACCAACTGTGAAACCATAAAATTATGAAAAATGAACCAATCTCAGCTCTCAGTTCCCACACTGTTTTCAAAACATTATCCAAACTGAGTCATCTTACATTGGTATGATACAGAACATCTGTGTGCTCAGATTCAGACTCCTCAAGCAGAGTTACAAATTGCCTATGATTTAATCCTCTTGCTCTAATGTAGTTGACCACTTTTGTAACCATGTCCACAACCGTGCTTAGTTTTAGAACATTTTTACAGAGGGCCTCTTGATGCATGATACAGTGTAAAAAAGTAATTTTCTGTTCTGGATTTGTTTCTTTGACTTGATCTTGAATTCTTTTGAGCAATCCAACATGTTTGCCTGTTAAGTTTGGGCTTCCATCAGCGGTCACACCAATTTTTTCCAGTCCATTCCCAATTTTGACACACATTGATTTACTAAGTCCAATAAATCTTTTCCAGTTGTTGTGTCTTTCATTGACTGCATTGATGCCAATTCTTCTGAAAGCTCAAAATTTTCAGTGATTCCTTGAATGAAAATCAACAACTGGGCTGTGTCTTTGACATCACAACTGTCATTGAGTGCCAATGCAAAGTATGAGAAATCATTTACCTTACTTTTCAATTGCTGGTGCAGGTTCTCAGAGATATCTTCGATACGTCTCACAACAGTGTGCCTTGACAAACTGACATACAAAAAACTAGAACTCGTGGTTCCAAAATGATACCTATTATTAGATCAACTGGAAAATGGCAAGAAAATTGTCCTTTTCTGCAAGCTTTCGGGATCAAAGTCCCTTCGTCAGGCTCTGGGAAAAGTGTAGATGGTACAAGATGGTAAAAAGGTATCATTC